ATGTGGGAGATGTGCCAGGGCCATTGTCTGTTATCTAAGATAATCTGGAGAGCTCTCATCGTTATAGTGATGGGATCCTTGTGGCCTTGTACCCAAGCAAAGGGAAGACATCTGAGGGCCTGAACCGCATACCAGCTGTCGGAGAATATATTGAGCGGCTTAGTCTGGCAGATTTGGAAGATTTTTAACAAGGCCAGGAGCTCCCCCAACTGGACAGAGCCAGGATTGGCTTGTACATAACAGGTGTCATCCTTCCCCATGCGCTGAATAACAGTGCCATAATGGGACTTATTGGCATCTGAGAAGGGTAGCGTGGCTAAAGGTAGTGGGTTTTTGCAGGGGGGAAGTGTGTAGCTGAGCGATGATTTTCAAACAGGCCAGGCTGGCCAGTCACTTATCTGGGGGGTGTGGTTATCCAACTCCCCCATGAACCCGGACATCATTAGTTGGAAAGCCTGAGAGTCTGCCCATAATGTTTGGGAATGCTTAAGAGGAAAGGGCAGTATAATTTTGTCAGGTTCCTTTCTGAATATGCGCCTGGCTGTTTGTCGGGCCTTAATTGCTAACTTGAAGGCAATATCATACTTGGAGCTAAGCCTAGTTAGGTCGGAGGTAGCCAGGTGGATCCACACCAGGGGGTCTTGTTGCCATAGCACCCCCAAGACACCATTTTTAGTCCAGAGGATTAAGGTCAGTAATGGTTCTGCTGGATCATGATGTCAGAGTGATGCAGACCAGAGAATATGATCTACCTCATTAAGAAGATCCTTAGCTGACTGGGTGAGAGGGATCCTTGAAGTTGGTGAATTATGGCCTTCCAGCAGGGAGAACAACGCCCGGAATTCCAAGTCAGGGACCAGTATAGATTGTTTGAGCCAGTTTATAGTCCCACAGAGTTCTTGGAGCTCCGTCAAGGCATATACAGTTTTTTGCAAGATAGAAGGTTTAAGCAGTTTAATTACTGTACTACGATATGATGGGATGGGGATAGCTGTAGGGTTTGGTAAGCCCACTTGTAGCAAGCCCATCTTTTCCATCTGGGCATTGACTGCTCTAAGATCTTGGAGTCTG